ATCCCGAATAAAGCTTCTTTGCTGAGACAAAAAGCTTGTTTCTTGCAATAGGATTTTGTTATTCAAACATATATATGAACAAATTTAGTGTCATTTTATAAAGTATGTTCGTATTATTCTATAACACTCTTTTACTTATATCCGTTATGAGCAGAACTTTTCAGTTTTATTAAACTAAAACAATCTCAATTTGAGTAGTTTCAAAAATTAGCACTATAATATACTTATATTGATATGCGATAAGTTCTAAAAAGATTTGTATTGATATGTGAAAAGTTCTAAAAAGATTTGTATATCATGCAAAGCAAGTTTAACGATACAGTGAATATTAATTAGCAAAATAGAATATGTTCTTTCTAGATTTTTTTTTTACTTAATAAACCAATATCGCATTGTATATTGCAGATAATAAGTCAATATTTTTTGCTTCATAGTATGTATTGTTTTTCAAACTCTAATATATGCAAATTGTTATTTTTGCGGGCATTTTCTTGTGTTATGACCGGCACCACCACAAAAACCACACATGTATACTTTCTTAATAGCATGTTCAGCACCAGTTTTTTGACGTTTAGTACCACTTGGTCTTCCTTTGGTTGCTATAGCTGCAGGGTCATCAATATCATTTTGAGATAAAGGATATTTGTTGTTTAGTTGATTTACAAAAAGTGCTAAGTCATTATTAGTTTGAACATGACCTGCTCTATTACAAATTGTTTCAATTTCTTTTAGCAAATCAATAGTTTTTTTAGATACTTGTCGATTATCAGGAGTTGATGTAGTTAGTGTAGAATTATTAGTTAATACAAAATCAGCAGTTGATGCAGAATTGACAGTTGATACGAAATCAGTAGTTGATGCTGAATTGTTAATTGATGCTAAATTGGTGGTTGATATGAAATTGGTAGTTGACGCAGAATTGGTAGTTAATACTGGTAGGGATGGAAAATGATTTAAAACGTGATCTTAAAAATCATGATTGTTTGATTTAAAAATGATTTTAAATGATTTAA